ACGATCAAGAATCAGGGACACTGTCTCGTTTGCCAAGGCATCAAAAATCAGATGGGCTGGACACGTAACTGGATTCCATTGGACGTCAAAAAATCGCATGGCTGTCCACCTATGAGATGGTCAGACTTCTTTGTCAAGACCCTGAATGATCGGTTTGAGGCTGTTCATATTCCTAGAATGAGCAGATGCCATTGGGCTACACTAGCATGCAACAGGGATGAATGGAGACGGTACTGGTGCCCGCTCAAGCAAATCCATGAGTAACGAGATGTCAAGTGATCAAGTAAAAAAGAGGTGGGGGCTGGAGCGATAGTATAGCGGGGAGGGCGTTTGCCTTGTACATGGCTGACCCGGATTCGATCCCCGGCATCCCATATGGTCCCCTGAGCACTTCCAGGAGTATTTCCTGAGTGCACAGCCAGGAGTAACCACTGAGCATTGCTGGGTGTGACCCAAAAAGCAAAAAAGGAAAAACAAAAAGAGGTTTGATTTTGCTCAATCCCTCTGACTGTTTTCACTGTAGTCATTTCTGCTTTCATCCTATTCCTTCCTTCATCTTATTTTCTTTAGGTTTATTTTGGCATATTTTATAATTTCTTGAGATAAACACTAGCCTTATCCATGTCTAGGCTTTTGTTTTTATAAAATACATGTCTAAGGTGATACGTTCTCCTCTAAATCTGTATTTGCTATATTTACATGCATTTTCATTTTTGTTTGAACAAATTTTCTAGTTTCTATATTAGTACCTTCTTAGAGCTCCAACTCATTAGAAAGATATTCAGCCTTAATTAAAGCATGTGGGACCTTTCTTAATATCTTTCTGTTACTTAATTCTAGCTAAGTACATCATAATCAGAAAATATATTCTATATGATTTGAATTCATTCAGATTTGTTGACACTTGCCATAAATTTATAAACATTCTAACTATGCTTGAAAACAGTAGGCCTTCAATATTTTTGTATGCAAATTAGAGTAAGGACTTTTTTGTTTTATTATGTTCTCAATGAAATATTTTATATCATTATTTTTTAAAAACCAATCTTTATACCAACTACAGACATAAATGTATTAAAATAATAGAATCTGTAAATTTTATCTCCATTTATTTGTCAACTTCTACTTACTTTTGACAGTTGGTACAAAAAAGTGTAAAATTATTATGCTACTAGGGCAACAGTAGTTTTTGTGAAATGGTCCTCTTTAGTTTTAGTAGTGTTTTTGGCTAAATTTTTTTGATGTTGTTTTTAGGCTACAGCTCGAGATGTTCAGAGTTACTCCTGGCTCTGCACTAAGGGATCACTCATGGCGAAGCTCAAGGGACCATATGGGATTCCAGAGATCAAACCCATGTCAGTTTTATGCAAGACAAGCGTCCTACCTTTAGTACTATCTCTACAACCCTGCACAAAATTTTGTTTTGACTATTATTAATACAACTAGGCCAGCTTCCTTTTGTCTACTATTAGCAAAGTCTATATTTCTCTGTTCTGTTGCTTTCAACTTTGAGACCTTGTATTTAAATTTTAGTTTTAGAATTAAAACTAAAACTAACTTATTCTCCTCCATTTTCTTTGTTTTTGTGCCACACCCAGCAGTGCTCAGGGGCTACTCCAAGCTCAATGTTCTGAGGTAGCTCCTGGGAGAATCTGGAGGATCTGAGAGCATGTAAGATCATGCAATTCAGTCTTTAATCTACCTCTTCGTCTCTGATCATCAAATCTTGATGGGAACAATTACTGTCATCAGCCTACTTTGCATTTGGTGTGATTACTAATACTCTATTTCAAACAGCCTGCATGTCAAAGAGATAGCACGGAGGTAAGGTGCTGGCCTTGCTCGGGAAGATCCCTGATCCCACCACAGAGCCAGAACACAGAGCCAGGAGTAAGCCCTAAGCACTGCTGGGTGTGGCCCCCAAACCAAACAAAAACTAAAACAAGGTCTCTAATTTGTGTGCTTTGCTTAATCTACTCAAATTAGTTAATAAAAATCATTTCTTTCCACTACTAGTTTGTAAGATTTGGCTTCAAACTCTGTGATCTCAGTGATGACCTGAGAAATCATAGCAGACATGACAGAAAATACATTGAAATAATCTACTCCTATTTCCATTCTTTTGTTCTGATCTTTCAAAAACCCCAAAACAGGGCCAGATCAATAGTACAGCAGGCAGGGGACCATAGGAGTGCAGGAGATCAAACCTGGATTGGCCACATGCAAGGCAAGCACCCTACCTACTATACTATCTCTTCAGTCCCCACCTGCTTATTTTAAATATTTTTAAAATAAATTCTTATTGTTCTACAGTTCCATTCCATATCATTTCCTTTCATTTAGACTTTTGGGAATTAGCTGAGCTCTTCATATATCTCTATGTATTTTCTATTAAAGCACTGTAGCACTGTAGCACTGTCCTCCTGTTGTTCATCGATCTGCTCGAGAGGGCCCAGTAACATCTCCATTGTGAGACTTGTTGCTACTGTGTTTGGCGTATTGAATACGTCACAGGTATTGTCAGGTTTTGCCATGCAGGCAAGATACTCTTGGTAACTTGCCAGGCTCTCAGAGGGGGTGGACGAATTGAACCCAGGTCGACTGGAACAGCCACGTGCAAGGCAAATGCCCTACCACTATGCCATCGCTCCAGCCCATTTTTTTTACATATTTATTTATTTATTATTTATTTATTGAATCACTGTGGGAAAAGTTACAAAGCTTTCAGGTTTAAGTCTCAGTCATTCAATAATCAAACACATTTCCCGTCATCAATACTTATTTTTCACCATCAAGAACCCCTATATATGCCCCCCCACCCTTCCCAATGCCTGTGAGGCAGATGAATTCTAATTAGCACTCTATCTACTTTGATAAGATTGATTGTTTCGACAAAAGATGCACCATTATTGTTTAGAGTTTACACCCCAAAATCAGACCTGCTGAAAAGGCATTGCGAAATAATTTGTTTTCTACAGCTGGTTACAAGAACCAAATTATGTCACGTGGTCGCGATAGCAGCTGTGCGATTTTGGATTTCTGATATTTTACTTATTAAGCTTGAAAGTATTTCTGACAAGAGCAAGATAATTATGAGATTGGTTACTGTGGCTCTGGAGGCATGGTGCCGTGGATTAACACATAGTCCATTCACTTTTCTGCCGCAAGCTGCTGGGCTCTGCATTAAGTCCTTGTGCTTCTGGAGCCATGGCCGTGCTGGAGAGCCGCTCATGGGGGGCAACCCGTGACCTCGGTAGGGCACTCTGTCCTTTCTTCAGACCGTTCTCAGACACGTCAAACCTCTCACTCTCCTCTGTGTCCCCAGCCCTCTTCTGCCAGTCTATCATTCTGTTTAATTTGTGATTAATCATTAACTGATATAATCTGCTATTAAGCTCATCTATTGAACTTTCAATTGGCTACACTTATTTCTAGAAAATCCACTTAATATGTTTTATCTGGCAAATAATTTTTAGAATTAAATATAATTCATTTTTTTTGGTGTACATACAATTATGAAATCATGACCAAGATCAAGAATCTGAATGATGCCATCTCCCGCATGGTGGAGAATGTCCTCCTCAGAGTCCCAGCCTTGCCATTTCCAGAATGTCACATGATGTCACATAGGCAGATGGCTTCAAACACTAGGGTCCTTTGCCCCTGGTGTCCTACACTGCTGCATTAGGCATTCACCCATGCTCTATGTCAGCTGCTCGCTCCTCTGGAGTGCTGGTGACCAATTATTCCATCACATTGGAATAAACCAGATGATTTAACCAAGGCAATTATGAATGAAGTTAACCATTTTTGCAACTATGAATAAGGTTTCTATGGATTATTCTTAAATGTAAGGTTTAATTTCTCAGGTAAATATTTAGGAGCATGGTTGCTTAGTCATAAAATTCACATAGTCCAATTTTATAAGAAACTGCCAAGACAGTTCCCAGCTGGCTGCTCCCTTCCACACTCCTGTCAGTGGTGTGTAGGTACCCGCACTTGTGGCTTTTAGCTGCTGTGACAATCAATCTCAACTGGGCCCTGTGCTTTGATATCTGACTCCCTCTATTCACTCTCACCCCAAGAAAACACAGAACTGCTATTCAAAGGGACAGAGACTCTGTGGATTAAGGCAGCCTTAGTCTGCCTTCTGAGACTACCTGCTCTCCTGAGCACTGCCTGGTGGCACTTGGGACTCCCCCAGACACCATCCCAGGGCCCACTGCAGAGCCTAAGCACACAAATCCTAAGTCCTGGCATTGAGCACTGGCCCTCCTGGCAGAGAACTGAGGGGCATCTCCCAGGCCACCTAGGTCTGGAAGGTTCCTCCCACATCCTCAGAGGGCTGCTAAAGGCTTCTGAGATTGGTGACTGACCTGAGATAGAAATGGCATTATGTTTACCTTTCTGCATTACACTTTTTTCTTTTTCAAGTCTCATAATTTCTTAAAAGTATCTTTAAGAGTGTTTTTATCTAGGGGCTGGCACACCACATGCCTTGCACATGTGAGGATCTTACTCAATCTCAGGTAAATTAAGTTTTTATCTAGATTTCTAAATTTTAAGGCCAGAGTTATAGGACAGAGGTTAAGGCTTGCATGCAGCTAACCCTAGTTCAATACCTGAAACCAGATATAGTCCCCCAAGTCCACCAAGAGTGATCGCTGATCACAGAGCCAGCATTAGGCCCTGCGCCCGGGTTCAATCCCTGGCATCCCATGTGGTCCCCCAAGCACCGCCAGAAGTAATTCCTGAGTGCAGAGCCAGGAGCAAGCCCCGTGCATTGTCGGGTGTGACCCAGAAAGAAAAAAAAGAAAGAGGCTTGATTTTACTCAATCCCTTTGACTGTTTTCACTATTGTCATTTCTGCTTTCATCTTATTCCTTCCTTCATCCTATTTTCTTTAGCCCTGACTCTCCACACCCCACAGGCTGGGGCTGGCTGCTCTGCCCTTCCCACACCCCTAGGGGCTGCTGGAGCAGAGGGAGGGAGGGTCTTACCTGTGCTGTCCTCCCCAAGTCCCTCTGCAGCTTCCCGAAGCTTGACATCCATCACCCTCGTGGAAATCATAGTCAGCTCACTGAAATGCAACAAGAAATCGTATTACAGCTACTGTCTTACTGTTCGGCATGTTGCTAAATCCATGGTGAGCAAAGTGGAGGTGGACAGTGCTCTTGCCTCTGATCTTGCCTGCTCACACCAGCAAAGACACATTCTGGGGCAGAGTCCGGGCCAGTCCAGGCCCACAACAAACCCACTCTTCAAGATTAGGCACATAGGCAACTAGCCATCCGCTGACCCAGGCCATTTAATGACAAACAAGTAACTATATCAAATGCTTCACCAACAGATGCAGAGCAGGTTAAGTTAGTTTCTTCGAAAATTAGTTTTTAAAAATTATGCTTTTTTAAAAAATTAGGGTGTTGGGAAGATCCACCCAGGATGGAAGATGCATGCTGAAAGTAGACTATAGACCGACCATGATTGTCACTCAATTCCTCTTTTGCAAACCACGGCACCCAAAAGGAGAGATAGAACAAAAGGGAGTGCCCTGCCACAGAGGCAGGATGGGATGGGGGATGGGGGATGGGAGGAATACTGGGATTAGGGGTGCTGGAGAATGGGTACTGGTGGAGGGATGGGTACTCCATCATTGTATAACTGAAACCCAAGCACAAAAATTCTTAAGTGTACAACTGTACCTCATGGTGTTTCACTAATAAAATTTTTTTAAAAATTTACATAAAAATTATGCATATCACTTGTTCACAGTAGAAATTTTAGAAGATAAAGAATTGAAAATCACCCAGAGTCCTACAATCAGAGAAAACGTGTAACATTTTACTGTTGTTTCTTCCCTCAGAGTTCTAGGCAAGTGTTTGTGTACATACACTGTGAACTTCTGATTGTCTTATACCCATGAAAATTCTTTCCAAGTTGGAGGCAGAGAGATAGCACAGTGAATAGAGTGCTCAACCCAAGTCTGATTCGTCACATCCCAGACGGTACCCCAAGCACTACCAGGGGTGATTCCTGAGTGCAGATCAAGGAGTAAGTGCTGAGTACCACCTGCGGCAGAGTTCAGGCCAGTCCAGGCCCACAACAAACCCACACTTCAAAGTCTGGTGAGCACTGTAGGGTGCTCCCTGGGACCTCAACACTGCTTGGAAATCTTTCTCCCCAAAATCTCTGACCTATGAAGAAAATAAAGCAAATGCTGGTTGATACTTCTGCAATATAATGTCGAGTTCATTGGCCCTGCTTTCTTGGGTTGACTTTTATTTATTTGGTTTTGTTTTTCTGCCCACATTCAACCATGCTCAGTGGTAACTCTCAACTCAGTTCTTTTTTTATATTTATTTATTTATTTATTTATTTGCTTTTTAGGTCACACCTGGCAATGCACAGGGGTTACTCCTGGCTCAACACTCAGGAATTACCCCTGGCAGTGCTCAGGGGACCATGTGGAATGCTGAGAATCGATCCTGGATTGACCGCGTGCAAGGTAAATGCCCTACACACTGTGCTCCAGCCTCTCAATTCAGTTCTTGGGACTTGCCCCTATGATGCCCAGAGGTGCCAAGATCAAACCTCTAGCTCTTTAAGACTGCTCCCTGGGCCCAACATGACTTCTATCTAATATCTTCCCCTACTCAACAGTTTCTGACTCCCATTTATTTGGAAAACTATTTCTTTTTTTATGACATGATCATATTTATTTATTTAAATTTTTATTAGTGAAACACCATGAGGTACAGTTGTAGAATTACAATTTTTTTTCTTTTTGGGTCACACCCGGCAATGGACAGGGGTTATTACTGGCTCTGCACTCAGGAATTACTCCTGGTGGTGCTCAGGGGGCCATATGGGATGCTGGGAATCTAACTCAGGTTGGCTGTGTGCAAGGCAAAAGCCCCTACCCACTGTGCTATTGCTCCAGCCCCCTTAACTGTTGTCTTAATCTTTCCCACCCCCACCCCTTCCCCTCTCCTCCATCCCCATCAGTGCTAAGGGCTATTCCAGGCTTGTTGCTCAGGTGTCTTTCCCAGGGATCAAACCTCTTGCATGCAAAGAAAGTACTCAGCCGGTTAATGTGTGTCTTTGGCCCCTGAGGAGTGCATGTGTTTGAATGCACAGTTTTTTGTTGTTGTTGTTTGTTTTTTTGGTTTTTTTTTTTTTTGCTTTTTTGGGTCACAGCCGGCAATGCACAGGGGTTATTCCTGGCTCTGCACTCAGGAATTAATTCTGACGGTGCTCAGGGGATCATATGGGATGCTGGGAATCAAACCTAGGTTGGCCGCGTGCAAGGCAAACGCCCTACCCACTGTACTATCACTCCAGCCCCGAATTACAAATTTTTGTGCTTGGGTTTCAGTTATACAATGATCGAGTACCCATCCCTCCACTAGGGCCCATTCTCCACCACCACGAATCCCAGTATCCCTCCCACCCCCCATTTCCCCATCCCACTCTGTGGCAGGGCACTCCCTTTTGTTCTCTCTCTCCTTTTGGGTGCTGTGGTTTGCAAAAGAGGAATTGAGTTACAATCATTGTCAGTCTATAGTCTACTTTCAGCATGCATCTTCAATTCTGGGTGAATATTCCCACACCCTTTATTTGGTGCTCCCTTCTCTATCTGAGCTGCCTTTACCTCTAGAGTGTGTGGCTGGCCTCCATGCCATGGAGTAAACCTCCTGGTATTTATCTCAGCTATTCTTGGGTGTTAGTCTCCTATTTTGTTACTTTATGTTCCCCAGATGAATGCAATCTTTCTATGTCTGTCCCTCTCTTTCTGACTCATTTCGCTTAGCATGATACTTTCCATGTAGTACCACTTGTATGTAAATTTCATGACTTCATCCTTTCTAACAGCTACATAGTACTCCATTTTGATATGTACCAAAGTTTCTTTAACCAGTCATCTGTTCTCAAGCACTCAGGGGAAAACTATTTATTACAAGTAGTTACAATGAGCTCTCACACTTAAAAGGGGGGCTCAAATATTTAATTTCCCAACTAATACTTACTACTTATACGTAGTACAAAATGGAAAAAAAATGGTAAGATATGGGGAAAAAAGACTTTGACAGAGGAAAGAATTTGTGGGCCCTTACCTAACTCAAGTCTAATATTTAGACGCCAGTGGAGAAGAAAAACTATAAAGAGCAAGAAGGACAATGAATTTGGGGAAGGCTGAGGTGCCAGAGTTGACCTTAGTCCTCTCAGGCTGACACTGAGGATGATCCAAACATTCTCTACTTATCAATCATGAACATTGGGCCAGAGAGATACAGCAGGAAGAGTGCTGGCTTTGCATGAGGTTGACCTGGGTTCAATCCCCAGCACCACATATGGTCCCACAAATGCCACCAGGAGTGATCCTTGAGCACAGAGCCTGGAGTAAACCCAGAGCACAGCCAGGTGTGGTCCTCCAAAGCCCATGTAATAAAATAAAATTTTAAAAGTAGCTTTTACAAAGCATATAGCCTATCACCAAGGTAAAGGTAAAGGCCCTCCCGTTGATCGTCGATTTGCTCGAGCGGGCCCAGTAACGTCTCCATTGGAGACTGTGTTGTTACTGTGTCTGGCATATCGAATACTCTCGGTAGCTTGCTGCCTATCACCAAATGCTCTATTTATCCCCAGCAGTTTTAACTGTCCCATTCTGGGAACAAGAACATGTCCATCTTTGGTAAGTTTGCTAACGGACCCGGGATACAAGGCTGGAGTCATATTATCCCTGCCTCTTGCTAGGCATAGGGAGAACCTCGAGCTTTTCCTAGAGGGACTCAAAGGAAGAAACTGGGGAATCCAAAGGACAGAGCTTCTTGCCGAAGCGGCCCTGTCAACTGGCAGCTAAGCCACAGTCTGGGTGCCATGGAGACGGCCAGCTGGATATGACAGGATATCTCAGTCTGAAAAATGGGGTGTGGCATGGACATGATATGCCAACCAGCACTTAAGTAATCATAATGCTACTTTCAAAATGTCCAGCCTCCTCTGAATATTTTTCTTTATTTTTTAAATCATTTTATTGAGGTTTAATAATACCTTTTTAAACTATTTTTATTGAGATCTCACAATACTGCTCATCATATGTTTCACTCATACATCATTCCAATAGCAGACCCACCCACAGAGAGACCTCCCTTCACCTGTGCCCCAAAGACCCTCCCAACTACAACACCCCTCCCCCCCACGAACATGAAGCTCAGTTTTATAGAGAAAATCTTCAGTTCAGATGACTTTGCTCTGTTGTTACTCTCTTCCTGTGTTTTGTTTTATCCCACATATGGGAAAGATTTCCATTTTTTGGACATTTTAATACAATGTTTCCAGGCAGGACAGAGAGAGGCAGATGTGTGTGAGAGAGTGTATGTTCAAGTCTGATGGGCCAATTCCACCCACTGAGCCTGGGGCGCCTGAAACTCACACTTGTTTCTCACTGAGGTGAATAATGTGGTGATATAAGGCCACACGGGGCTGAGGGCAGGAGCCCCAAGAGACAGGGTCCTTGCCTTGCTGTGAGGGACAGCGTGGGGGGCCCAGGTGCCAAGGAACCACCAGCCTCAGGCAGGATGCAAAAGTCACTCTGCAAACCAGCCAAGCCCCACCTCATGTGGGAGGTTTGAAAGGTGCTCAGACTGGGAGACAGGCAGGTTATGGCACCCTCCCTGCATGTGGCAGTCTGCAAAGGCCCCCTGAACACAGCTGGATATGACAACCCAAAATCCCCAGGAAAAACAAGCACACACCAAATGGTGCTCCAATATGAGACAAAGACCCAAGGTCAGGAGAACTGGTCCTCAGTTGAAAGCTTGCCACAGGTGGTGGTAGTGATTGGGGACCACCACAACAATGGTCACTCTGGACAAGAACTGAGCGCCAAAAGTAGGTAAAGGGACAAACCTGATGACCTTTCAGTACCTATAATGCAAAACATAATGCCAAAAGGAGAGAGAGACACACAGAGAGAGAGAGAGAGAGAGAGAGAGAGAGAGAGAGAGAAGAAAAGTGTCATTGACTGCCACAAAGGCAGGCTGGAATTGAAATGGTGGGGGAGGGAAACTGGGGACATTG